GGCGCTGCGTGTGCGGGAGCCGCCGCCATCGATGACCGTTCCCGGCTTCGGTCGGGAGGGAGAGAGCGCGGGCTGAGCGGGTTGCGGCGCCACCCTTTTTTATTCGATGGTTTCAAAAATAGATGTGTTCGCTATGATCAGGCGCTCGCTACACAGTACCTATCGCAGATCCATATCGCTCTGGGTTACCCCTTTCTGGAATGGGATTCGTTATTTTGGACAGAATTGGTTAAGGTGACAAACTGCCCGTCTAACCGTTTTAATAACTGCTTTAGAATAATTTCTTTTCTTACTAATGCAGTCATCTGGTGTTATCTGTGCTTATCCAGGTCAACACTTTGCCTCTCATATTTATACATAGTTTACTTGAAAACATCGTGGACCAGCAGTGCATCGTGTGTATAGAAAGTTACAAGGAAGGTTGTTTGCTCTTTTTTCAGTTTCTGTTAATATCATTGTGTTTTCATATTTCCACTTTCTCAGAGGGAATACGGCAGTTGGTTTCAGTGTTAATGAACCCTTGCCTTTTTTGGGGGGGTGGAGGGGAACAAATACTCACCTTCTCATCTTCTGTTTTCTTGCAGGTATTTTTGTTGATGCTGTTAATTCCATGGGCCAAACTTCACTCTTCACTGCTGCATTGCTAGGTCTTCGTAAAATGGTGGATGTCCTGTTGGATTATGGCTCAGATGCTAATCAGTTAAGTATAATTATTTTTTTTTGTTAATTAAATTGAAATTAACATTTAATCTTTTAGTGGTTTTACTCAGTGTAATGCACAATATTCACTGTATATAAATGAAGATGTGCTTAAAATGCATGTTGCTATTTTAGCCAAAGCTCCTCAGAAGTAAGTAGTGCTTAATTTTCTCTCTTTCTCGGTGTATGTTGTTGCTTGGGAGTACATAAGCATTCTAGGTATGTTGCTTTTGTCCCCAGAAGCACAGCTGGTTGAGTGTAGTAGGGGTGGGTTGAAACATCTCTGCTTTAACGTTCCTCAGTCGCTGTTATGATGGGAGCACCCCAGTCCATGCAGCTGCGTTCTCAGGAAATCAGTGGATTCTTAGCAAGTTATTGGACGAAGGAGGTGATCTGAGAGTACATGATAAAAGAGGAAAAAGTCCTCAGTGCTGGGCTATGTCTGCTGGGAAAGAAAGCAGTGCTCAGGTATGTGTGTGCAATGCATGTTGAAAATGTACTTAGCACGTGCTTACATCTTTATCTTAAAGTGAAGAAACTCCAACATTCCAGGGAGAAGTTCTTGGCTTTTACATGTTAGATAACTGTTTAACATTATTTTTCAATGTCAGTAATGGTATTTTGAAGTCCTCATGATTCAGATGGATTCTGCTGAAGTAACGTTCTGCTCAGGTGCAGGGTCGTGTCTGTCTCTAACTTGTTAGTACCTTGGTGTGTAAGTGTGTGGTGAAGAGAACAACAAGCCCTTGTTTTCATCCCCTGATGTATGTAGTTTGTTTGCGTGTATGTGCAATTCGGGAGTAAAGCTGAAGTAGTTTTCAAGTCTATCTCAGTCTGTGCATGAACAGTGTCAGCAAATGTGTCATTTTTGCTAGCACGGGAGCAAAATATATCAAGAAGGCTTATTCATGACTGCGATATTGATTTAAAACTCCTAATATAATACTCCTCTTTGCTGTTACTACAATGCTTCTCTTAAAAAGAAACCTAATATTATAATTTTAAGTGGGTGAATGTCTTGAAAGTTAGTCACCTAGTGTTTGAAGTAAGCTTTCATTACGTTTTCATGTAATTGATTTTCTTGAAGTTTTTCTGTGTATCCATTTCTTGAAATGCCTGTTTAAATATTGCAAGTAACGAGTTATTTTTTCAGTAGTCATGATCTCTTAATTTAAAATGGTGTCTGTTACAGTTCTGAAGCAAGTTTCTTTTGGTTGTTTTTCCCTCCCCCTCCTCTCTAGATGCTGGAATTTATTCAGCGTTGCACATCCCACATGCAGGCTGTCATTCAAAATTTTCCCTCTGATCTGCTCAGGAAGGTTGGCTCATCAAAAGCGCTGGTCTGCAGTCCATCTAGGTTTGGTGGCCTTGTTCAAGGGTAGGAACATATTTCAAGAGCTTTTATGTCAGATACATGTTAGGAAAAATACATACTTGTGAACAAAAAGTGATGCAGGAAGCCTATATATATATTTAATTGGTTGTCTTGCTTTAAACAAATACGTATCATAACAGTGTATTTAAAAAGTTTTAATGAGTTGCACAATAATTTGGAATTTCAGCATCCACATTAGACTTTTTATGTGGGACCAGACAAATGCAACATTTGAAATACATGGCTGTTGCAGAACTCCTGCATTTTTCTCTCTCCCTTTTTTTGTGTTTAACTCAAAGCCTCAGCATATTAGTTACTCTTATTGCTTATGTTTTTGATACTTAGAAATGTTGGCAGTCCTCTGGGTAGATTTCTAAAAGGTGGAGCTAATGCAACCAAGAACATTTACAGCTTTGGTTTTGGGAAGGTAAGGTGCTGTGGGTGGTAATGGTTTTCTAATGTTATTAGTACAGTTTTTCAGAGTCACATATTCTTCACAGTAACTATCCTACCTGTATTATTTCTCATTTTTACTGTATTCTTATTTCTACTGAAATGGTGGGAAAAAAACGGGGACAGTGTAAATGTTCAGGCCTTTCGTTGTTAGTAGTCCCTATCAGAGGAAGCTGTTTTGGAACAGGCAATAGAAGCCCTTCTGTTAAATGTCACCTGTGGAAGTTCTTAATGACTGTTTCTGCTCTCCCTATTTCATCTTCATTAGAAAGTTAAGCTTTTGACATAGGTATCGTAACGTTTCATTTTGATGCTTTGGCTGGTGCTCCTTGTGCAGTGGTTGCATTCAGGTTTTTAGTGAGCTTGCGGGACATGTGATGGATCTTGGGAACTGTTGCAAGGTCCTTTTGGTTATGCCCTGGTGGTGTGTCAGTTTTATCTTGCAGGCAGCGGGCATCTAGGGTACTTGACATCTCTCCCTATTATTGGGGAAAAAGACGTGGTTCAGGCAGATGATGAACCAACATTTTCTTATCATGTTGGACCATACATGATCATGACAAAGTAAGTGGAATCAAAGGGATTTTAGCCCCTCTTGGTGTGTATCTGTTACTATTAAGCAGCAAGTTGTTGTATCAGTTCCCTTGTTTTGATAGTTTTCCTTGTATATTCTATATTCATCCACTGCTTTCTGCTTGCAACTTGTTTTCTGCAGTCCACTGATTAATATTTTCTTTAGACCCTCTTGATATCTGTATGTTGCTCTGGTCCTTTCCAACAATATTAAACCAATTACGGTTATTCACTGATAGCAGCGTTTCAGTACCGATTCATTGTTCGCATTGCGTTGTTCAGTGTTTAGTCCTTGTAATTGTTGGGTCAGACCTCAGACCTCTGGATATGCATGTCTGCAGCCCATTTGCTCGAACCTATGGTGAAATGAGAGTTGCAAGTGCAGACTGAACCTTTTTTTAATCTTTTGTATTGTGTAGCAAGTAGTTGTGCTGCAGAGGCATCTGAGAATTGACAAATTGGTGATTTAATCTTCCCAAAGCTCTGACTTGTATCACAGTGGGCTGATGGGCATCAGTGAAATGAGTTTTAGAGTGTCCTTGTTCTTTACCTTGGATCATGGAAGGGTAGCATGTTGGGGCAGTAAACCTGTCCTGCTACATCCAGTCTCTAACAGGATGAGAATTTATTGTCAATCTGAAAGAGTATATGCTGTAGCCAGGATCATTGAAGTAATGTTACTAACAGTAGAAGACAGCACCAGAGCATTTCAGAATTGCAAAATTATTTGTAAGTAATCCCGTAACTGCAGAAAGCATCTCATAGAAATTCCTCCTCTTCTTGCAGCTTAATGTGGGAAGGCAGCAGAGTTACAGTGAAGGAACTCAGCTTTGAGCCCCATCAGAACTGTAGTAAACTATGCTTGGCTGATCTTCTTGTTGCAGAGCAGGAACGCAGTAGGTAAGAAAGAATGTGCAGTAGCCACAAGTGCTCCTGGGGTTTGGGTATCTCCAGTGATGTGAGGAAATGTGACTAGCCTCAGGAGGACTGTCAGGCTGTGGTTGCACTTTCTCTCCGAATGAGAAATACAGGTCTCTTCTCCTGTCTCTTCCCTCTCCATTTGCTCCTCAGTGGGTAATACAGGCGAAGATGGTGCTCTCTTCTCGTATGTCTGGGTGAGTGCTTCATTGCACGTTTCTTGGGTGGCTTATTTATAGATTCTTCTAGTTGTGACATTAAGTACTGTTTCCTAAATGCCTCTTAATCTACGGTTCTTTTAGAATTTGGGGTATTTTAATGAAAAGTTAGAAGCATTCATGTTGTATTGATAAAAACACCTAGAATGCCAGGACTCTTCCTCTTTTAATCTCAGATCTGCCTTACAATTTTTTTTCCTTTCTCTTTGCAGTCAGCTCCGTCATCCTCATTTGCTACAGTTGATGTCTGTCTGTCTGTCTAGTGACTTGAAGAAAACCCGTTTAGTATATGAAAGAGTTAACTTTGGTTCTCTGTACAGCATCCTTCATGAAAGGGTAATTGGAATACTTGTTTTCTAAATAGTAGTTAATTGAGAGGAAGAAGTTTAGTAACTACATCTACCATCTTTACTCAAAGAACAAGAAGACAAAATCATCAGTATGTGTATCTGGGTTTCTATTTCATTGCACAGTGTCAGATACTCTGTGTAAGCTGGTGAAGTTTGTAACTGGCAAATACTTCAGTTAATGTTTGGGTGCAATTGCATTGATTTTCTTGTTTGATGTCAGTCTTAAACTGGCTGCTGTTAACTTCAATTGAACATTTAGTCTTCTGCATGTGGTTGTATACTGCAGAAGTGGCGAGACCAGCTTTTGCCCTTGAATATTGGCATGTAGTACACTGCAAACTGCCTGTGTGTAAAAGTCAAGGCTTGAACTCAGTTGTGTTTTTTTTCTTCTTTTTTAATCATCAACTGATAAATGTTTTATTTTTGTCATTCCATATTTTTCTTTTCCTTTTTTCAGTTAATTGAGTTACTATTTTATTTCTTTAACTGTTTGAATGCAGACATCTAAGTTACTGGAGAAATTGCAGTCAAAGGCAAGAAATTCTAAGTTCCTTCTACTTCAGAGTGAATTTTGGCATAGTCAGAATCTTTTTTTTTCTTAATTACTTTTATTGGTTGATTTGATACTGAGAATGGCCATTATTTAGCAAGTGCAATTCATGTGACTTTTACTACAGTATGTTTCATGTTTGCTTTCTTTGCCTTCTTCTGCACAATAATAGTGTTCTCCTACATCCAGCTTTAAAGACCTGCCATACAAATTTGGTACTTCTGTTTTGGTTTGTTTTTTTTCTTTTCAGCGTACCGAATTTCCACTACTGCACATGGAGACAATTTTGCATGTGCTGCTTCAAATTAATGATGCTTTGCGTTTTCTACACTCTCGTGGATTTATCCACCGTTCAGTTACCTCCTATGCTATTCAAATTGTTTCTTCTGGTGAGGCAAAGCTATGCAACTTGGAATACATGATAGAAAGGTAAAGAACTTCCTGACTGTTTCTGTGAAAGGGACAAACACAATAAAGGCAAATTTAGTGCTAAATTCTGCTGAAGTGCCCCTCTTGATGACTAGGGACTCCTGTCTGTGTCAGGCAATAGAGTTACAGCAGTGAAGAACTACAAATTATTACTGCTTGGGTGTGTTAACTTTGCTACAGGCAATATGGCAAATTTCAGGTGGACTTAGTTTTTGTGTTATAAGTATCTGAAAATAGAAACTAGTAAGAGAAGCAGCTCTTTACTGGAGTATAAAAATACCGTCATAGAGAAATGGAACCTAATCTTACAGAACAGAGATGAAATTCCTCTTTGAGTCACTAATTCTGCTGCTGGAAATAAGTTTTCTCCTCTTGTTATACTGAACTTGTGCTTATGGAGGCTTACCTAAAGTGGTTGATGATTCCACACCTGATTGAACTGGTAGTAATTAAGTGCCACCAGTGACAAAAAGAGTATTTCTTTTATGAGAGAGACCATTCGTTTCATCTGGGTAAATTACTACTTCTGTACATTTTTTTGCTTATTTCCTGTAGTTCAGTCTGATTAGGAAGGAACTAAATGGCTGGTTAGACTGTAAAGAAAAAGAGTAAAATTGGTAATAAACAAAAATTCACCAATGTAATGTCCTGCGAGGAGCAAAGATACTTCTTTACCTCCTCGCAAACTCAGTTTGTTAATAAATCTCGGCGATTTCTTGGCAATTTCAGGTACAGCTTACTGTGAAATAAATAACAAAAACCCTGTAGTTAAATATGAGGAGGAAGTTGTCTTCTAGACATACCTGTACATTGCAAAATAAATATTGACAGGGTAGGTGGCACTTTCTTGTATTTTGTCCATGGTCAGAGAACTCTGGCCAGAGCTAAA